GTACCTGAGGAAACAAGGACTTTTTTAAGAGAAATAAATGTCAGTCAATTTTTTGACATGCCTCCTTATCCCCAAGATAGTGTGTTGACTCTACATATCATAGGATTCTGGAATAAAGAAAGAAGAGTTTTTGTGATGGTGGGAATTTGGTAAAATTCCACGTCGACCATGTGGCGCTTTTGTTAGGCATGCCCAACTGGGGAGAATCTGTTAGTTGTAGGAAGAGTCTTTCATCTCGTGTAGATTCGAGAGCAATAAAAAAAGATGTGACTAAGTTTTCAGGAGAGTCTTTTACAAGCACAAGATATTGATTGGACCCCGTATCTTAACTGGCAATAAGACATGGAGAGATTTAGAACTGAATTTGCTTACGCCATTTGTATGTGGTCCAAGATGTGGTCCAAGATGTGGTCCAAGAATCTAAATGCTCAAATATATGCTTATGGTTTTATTACACTTGAAGTTGCTTATGGTTAAATATGTGAATTTGCTTACGCCATTTGCTTACGGTTAAATATGTGCTCATAGGTTATAAAGTCATATAATTCGTTATGACACTTGAATTTTGAAATTTTGAGCAACAATATTTCGCTATAATACTTGAATTTTATGGTATAACACTTATATTTTTAAAATTACAGGTTATAAAGTCATATAATTTAATATAACACAAGATTTTGAAATTTTCATCAATAATATTTCGTTATAACACTTAAATTTTACGGTCTAACACTTATATTTTGAAATTTTTAGGTTATAAGATCATATAACACGATAAAATTTAAATTAACGCATCAATAATTAATTATAACACATGCATTCTCAATATAACGAATATATATCGCAGTATAACACGATTATTTTATATTTTGAACTTTATTTATATTTGAATATTTTAAGAAGTAATTATTTTACGATATAACACTTAAATTTTGAAATTTTTAGGTTATAAAGTCATATAACATGATAAAATTGAATTTTGAACTCGTTATAACAACTTAAACTCATTATAACACTTGAATTTGAACAATAACGCAAAAATATTGCGGTATAACACTTACATTTTTCTAAATAACGCGTCAATAATTAATTATAACACATGTATTCTCAATATAACGAATATATATCGCAGTATAACACTATTATTTTATATTTTAAACTTTATTTATATTTAAATATTTTAAGAAGTAACTATTTTATGATATAACATTTAAATTTTGAAATTTTCAGGTTATTAAGTCATGTAACATGATAAAATTGAATTTTGAACTCGTTATAACAGCGCGACCTTCTCTGTTTCACTGACGCGTAAGTGCCGGATCTAGCGCTTAGTCACCAAAACACTTAGCACAATTATCACTTTTTTGCTCCAAATTTGATCTTTTTTCACTCCTTTAAGCATTTTTCACCTTTTTACTTGTACCTGAAAAAAAATATACAAATATCTTCCATTAAAGCGTAATATCTAAAAAATATGTATAAAAAAGTGTCTGAAAACTCTATATATTTTAGGTGTATCGAATAACACATACCTGTTTTATAGGCAACGGAATAACACCTACCTGCATTATAGACGGTGGTTTAACCGCAAAATAAGGTAAATATATAAATTAAGTATAAATTTATATAAGTAAAATATCACGGTATATGAATTATTTTAGGAATTATTCTGAAAATAATGCGGTTTAATTAAAGTATAACACAAGATTTTTGATAAATAACGCGTTATTATATACCCGTGACGGCGAAATAACACATCTGTGTTATATTATGGTAGTATAACATACCTCAGCGAAATAATAAAGGGTGTCGTTATTGGCGGTGGAATAACACATACATGCGTTATAGGCGGCAAAATAACATCTACCTGCATTATAGGCGGTGGTTTAACCGCAAAATTAAATAAATATATAAATTAAGTATAAATTTATATAAGTAATATATCACGGTATATGAATTATTATAGGAATTATTTTGAAAATAATGCAGTTTAATTAAAGTATAACATAAGATTTTTGATAAATAATGCATTATTATATACCCATGACGGCGGAATAACACTTCTATGTGTTATATTAACGATGATATAACACATGGGGAATAATCCCCATATGTTACACCGCGGTAACACATGGGGAATATTCCCCATGTGTTATACCTCAACAAAATAAAAAAAAGGATATAACACATGGCAGCGGAATAATGATCCCGAAACTGTTTATGTGCACAATATAACAATGTCTTTAATTATAATTTTTTACTTATGTTTCCTTACTTTGCAACAGTACAAAAAACCTGATCTTGAAGAAAATAAGAACTTAACTTTTTAATTTATATATATTGGGATAACCGCAAGTATACGTATTGTTATCTAGTAATATATAACTTTTCGATTAAGACCTGAATATTGAACCCACAGGGAAATACACATATGCACTATTGAACAACAAACTATCTATTTTAAAAAGACAATTACTTGAACTAAAAATATTTTCGCAGTATTAAAATTCAAATTTTTTTGATATTTTTGATATTTTGACAGAACACTAACTATTTAAAAAGATAACTTGAGTTTATGTAAGAGAAAACACTAAATTTGAAAAATATCTTTCTCCTTATCATGAATCAGTAATAAGTATAAGAATTCTATCGTGGGTATGCAAATTGTGTTATTTCGAATATGAGTAATTATATTATTTACCCTTACTAGATGTGCTATAAGGAACATTGACTAATTTAAAGTTTGAATATTTCTAAAGACCGGTTAGGCAGGGAAGATACCAAGTCTCATTCTAGAGTTCCCTCATTTCCCTCCACCTGGGGGCTAACATCTCGTATCATAATGTAAAACAATAAACCAAGTTGGGGTCTTTAACCTGTCACTTTAAAGTCCTCTAACTCTACACCCTTCAATGAACATTTCTCTATTTATTTGCACTAAGTCATATGATTTACATTCTCATTCATATAATCTTATGTGATTCTTTCTAATTGTTGACTGAGACAATACCAATCTGGTTCTTACATGTTCTCACAACAAATTTTAACATCTAGATAAGTCAAATCAAGAAGTAAATGAAGTTCATGGATTTAAATCATCACAACTTCTTCCAACATTAAAGATCAGTACTACCCACAACTTCCATCCAAACTTTAATTACTTATCATTTTAAGGAGAAAGAAAAATAAAACTACTTAGAATCCATGTAGAAAAATAAAGCCACACTTTAGTTTAAAAGTAGAAATCATTGTCAAATCAATATGAAGTCTCGATTAAAACAAAAAATAGTTCAAAACAAAAGATAAAAACTTATCTCAAATCCTTCACCAAACTCTTGAAGTTCCTTTGAATCTTTTCTCTTTTACAACACTCAAAATAAACTAAAAACAAAAATTATAAAGAAATTTTTGTGGTACTTGAAAATCTCTCTCCTTTCCAACACTTTTCAAAACTCCCTTCAAATGTCTCAACTTCCTTCTTTTATAAATCTCCAAAAGGTGCATTGGAAACTCTTCAAAATGTGTCCACATTCGATGAATCCTCCAAACGATGAGTCCACATTCGATGAATCCTCCAAAGGATGCCTCCTTTCACAAGTCTTTTAAACATATTTTGGTTCTTAGTGGTCATAACTACCATCTTAAGTCAATATGTGCCTCAAATACCTCTTCAAAATTTGGTCAAATGAAGAAAACCGTCAAATAACTACCTCTAGCGTTTAAGCGCAGGGCCTTTGGCGCTTAGGCGCGACCTTCTCTGTTTCACTGACGCGTAAGTGCCGGATCTAGCGCTTAGTCACCAAAACACTTAGCACAATTATCACTTTTTTGCTCCAAATTTGATCTTTTTTCACTCGCCAAAACACTTAGCACAATTTTCACTTTTTTGCTCCAAATTTGATCATTTTTCACTCTTTTAAGCATTTTTCACCTTTTACTTATATCTGCAAGAAAAATACACAAATACCTTCCATTAAAGCACAATATCTCAAAAATAGCTATAAATATGTGTCTAAAAGCTCTATATATTTTAAACTCTATATATTTTAGGTGTATCAAATAACACATACCTGTTTTATAAGCAACGGAATAACACCTACCTGCATTATAGACGGTGGTTTAACCGCAAAATAAGGTAAATATATAAATTAAGTATAAATTTATATAAGTAAAATATCACGGTATATGAATTATTTTAGGAATTATTCTGAAAATAATGCGGTTTAATTAAAGTATAACACAAGATTTTTGATAAATAACGCGTTATTATATACCCGTGACGGCGAAATAACACATCTATGTGTTATATTACGGTAGTATAACATACCTCAGCGAAATAATAAAGGGTGTCGTTATTGGCGGTGGAATAACACATACATGCGTTATAGGCGGCAAAATAACACCTACCTGCATTATAGGCGGTGGTTTAATCGCAAAATAAGATAAATATATAAATTAAGTATAAATTTACATAAGTAATATATAAATTAGGTAATATATCACGATATATGAATTATTATAAGAATTATTCTGAAAATAATGCGGTTTAATTAAAGTATAACACAAGATTTTTGATAAATAACGTGTTATTATATATTATATACCTATATACCAGTGACAGCGGAATAACACGTCTATGTGGCGGGATTCTATACGGACAAAAAATCATTTTTTCTCATCTTGGGCGGGGTCGGGTTTCGAACGAGCCAGGTGGCATGTCTTAATTAAGTTATTTTATCTCCTACTATGATGGGTCCTAAAATTTCACGTGGTGAACTTGCATTGGAGGTGAGCCGGAGGTGAGCTCGGTCTCTGGGCCTCTTGTGAGCCGGATTTGGGTTATAGCAAAATTAAACCTAACAGAAACGGCAAAGTTTCCCGAGTCGCCGTCTACGGTTTATTTAACGTGATTTTGAAGAGATGCAGCCACCCCACGAGTTTCGTCCCCTCTCTCTCGCCATGCATTGCCCTTTCGCTCGTCGCCCGCGTCTCATTTCCTATTTACAGCAAACAAATCGTCGGACAAATGCGGCTTTAGCGTCGAATCTCGACGGCATTCCAAATTCTGCAATTTCAGAAGAAACTTGTATTTCAACGGAGTGGGGAGAGAGAGAGACAAAGTCTAGGTTTCTGCATTGCCGAGTGGTGGATACGCCATGGTGCTAGTACGAGATCCTTTCTCTCCTATTTATATTCTACGGCATCTGGCGTTGCTCTGCGTCGCCTTTCTCTTCTGCACCAGCTGCATCGCTCTCGTTGCTGGCAATGGCGTTGTTCAGGACGGTAAGAAGGGCCCAAACCCTTCCGGCTGCAATAATACGTACCAGATGGTAAGCTTAACGCACCAAAGTTCGCGTTTGAATTCTGCGTGATAGGATTGTCTGTTTTGTTATTTTTCATTTTTGTTGTAATTCAGGAATTTGAATTGATCTGAAGGTGTTTCAGATTTTCTGTCACACTCCGGGTCTGAGAGTTGATATCCTGGCAACTCGGATTGTGATGAAGAAATACAAAACTTTGTTTGTATTCATAAAAGGAAGTCCATACCAGTGCAATGAATATTAATAATATATTATTCATTCATAAAGCATATAATAACAACAACAACAATTCATTATTCCACTAGGTGGGTTTGGCTGCATGAATCATTTTTCTCCTTTGTCCTATTGACCAAAATATAGCTGGAGGACCCTTTGAAACTTTCGGATACAATCCTTAGGGGGGAAAAGGAGACACCGACGACTCTCCCAAAATAAATCACAACAAAAGTTGAACCATAAACACCAATGAGAGAAAATATGTATTTCTAGATATTTAGGAGTGGGGCTTCTTTTAAAAAGAGGCGGCATTTCTTTTCCTAGTGGGCTGGCCGATCTTCAAGACCCTTGGATCGATTCGATCTAGGTAATGGCCGATCTTCAATCTGATCTACACTGGTTCTCCCTCTTAAAAAGTCACCTTCTTCATGATTTGCGAATAGATGTCCCATGTCAGTCTCCCAAGATTAGGTGAGCTTCGACCCCATTTTTCTAAGCTTTTCTCTCATAGTATAGGGTTAGGTTAATTACTTGAAGGTAGCATAAATTTGTAATCTTTGGGTAAGTCAATTCTGTAGGTGCTGTTCAACTTCTTGAGAATTTTGACAGATAAATTTGCTCTGGGTTCGATTTTCCCAAAAGATCTCACCATAAATTTCTCTTTCTTCAATCTGATCTACACTTGTTCTCCCTCTTAAAAAGTCACCTTCTTCATGATTTTATTAGCTTGCCCCTGATACTTGTGGTTCTGCTTTTTGATCTCTCTCTACCTCCTCATGTAGCTTTTGAATCTCCTGCGCTCTAGCCTTAGCATGCACACTAATTTATGTAGCAGGAAGAAGTGATATCAACTCAAGTAGGGTGAGTGTGTTGTGCCTTTACACATTCTCAAAGGGAGTATGTCTTGTAGTCTGACTCACAGACTTATCATAAGCAAATTCAGCTTGGGCTAGAATAAGATTCCACAACTTTATATTCTTCTCTATAATATAAATCAGGAGATTCCCCAAACTTCTGTTCACCACTTTATTTGAACATTTGTCTGTGGGTGAGCTGCTGAGTTGAACTGAAATGTAGTACCAAGCTTCTCTCATAACGTCCTCCATACTCCCAATCAAAAGTAATGGTCCTTAATCCCATGCAGTTTCACTATCTCCTTGAATGCAAGTCAATTATATGTGATGCATCCAGTGTCCCGTGAGAAGGTACAAAACGACTCATCTTTGAAAACCATAGTTTTTGTACTTTTTTGGTATATTAATGCAAATGCATATTTTCATAGATACAACACTCGGACGGGAAAAATACCTTAGGGGCAGCAAAATAAAATAAAAAATAATCAGGAACTTCATCTAATCTAACAAGGTAGCTAATATATCATATGTGGAAATAAATAAAACATTAAGTAATAGGAAAGGAAAGGGGATGGATTACGAGTGGAATAGAAAAGATGAGATGGAATATATTCAAAAATCCTCTCAACAGTTTGCAACCGCTCAAGAAAGTCATCCAGATTCATTCTCCCATTGAAATCAGGTAAGTCTATCATTACTCCCATATCTTCATGTCTTCCCAAAGTTACTCCATTCCCCGATCCCCTCCTGTACTGAATCCCAAAGCACCTTGGCCTATTCTCCTCTTCGCTGGAATCATCCATACGAAAGAGATTAAGATTTTCCTCCGTCTCTCCTCTTATGAATGTCAATGTTAGGGTCAACGATGCTCTCTCCATGAGCCCCTTCTCAATTTCAACAAATCTTTACTGAAGTCGGTGGATTTCCCATTGCATCTCTTCCATGGTAAGTTTCTAATTGACTTTCGACACTTGTCCCCTTGGTGGCATAGCTAGGGTTTAGGTTAGGGAGGTGAAAGAGGGTTGGGTTAATTATTGGTTGATTTTGATAACCCTATGGTGGAACTAGGTTTAGACTAGCTTTGATACTAAATGATATCAAAATGTAGCAAACACCCAAAAGAAATAGATATTATGACTGAATTCAAAGTTTTACAATAAATAGTTGGGAAATATGAAATTACAACAAAATAATAACACAACACTAAAATTAGGGTTACATCTAGGGGGTAGGTTGTGCCAGTTAGGGTTTGGACTTTCGGGGTGGTGGCTAGCAAGTTGGAAACAATAGGACAATAATTTATAGGAGTTTAGAAAGTAAGCAAACAATAGGAACAATTGTAGGAGGACAGTTCTGGCTTGCGAGACAATATGGAGGAAAGGGAGGGAATGTGAGAGCGCTGTGGGAAAGGTATAGGAAGGATAAACACGACCTGAAGGCCAAGATATAGTCGGAGCACAACTTGGAACCTAGGATATAACTTATAGAGGAAAAAAGAGACGTCGACTGACCATAAACACCAGCAAAATTAAATATATATTCCTAGATAACTAGGAGAGGCCCCCCTATTAAAAAGAGGTGGCACTTCGCTACCTAGAGGTTCGGCCGGCCTTGACCGAATCGATCCATGTAACAAGGCGAATAAACGCCCGCTGTCACTCTCTCTAGTCTTATCCACAAGAAGGATATACTCGGTGAAAAGCATACAAAAATGTACATCCTATCGTAAATATCTAGTAAAAACATTCATAAAAAAAACAAAAAGATATGTGCTTAAAGCCGATCCTTTATGCAATTCAATTGAAATAGGAAAATACTTGGTCAATCCTCCTTGTGTTCGAACACAAGTAAAAATTCTAGCATTCATATCTTTAATGACTTGAAAATCAACAATATCAACACATTTCTTTTCTAGAACTCTCCAATCTACTTCTCTTGCAACTTTATCACATGTTTTTTCCAAATCAACAAAAATCATATGTTGATTTCCTACTCTCTCTATACTTTTCCATCAAATCTCTCAATAAATATATAGCTTCTATGACAGACTTGCCCAACATGAATCCAAAATTATTTTGAGAAATATTTATATTATATCTAACCTATGCTTAATTACTTTTTCCCTTAACTTTAATCTATGAGACATTAATTTAATTCCGCATTAATTCACACATGCTTGGGCATCTCCTTTATTTTTAAAAATTACAACCAATAGACTTACATAATAAGCAAAGAAATTTTCAGGTTTTCTAAATATTTTTGTACTTCAATTGAAATACCATTAGGTCCTACTGCTTTGCATACTTTAGTTTCTTTAACGTCTCCTCAACTTTCATTTTACTAGTACGACAGTAGAAAAAAAATTATTATTTTTTATGATATTAAGATCACTAAAGTCGATCTTATTTTCACAATTTTTATTTAAAATTTTATCAAACTATCTCACCTATCTATGTTGAATATTCTCATTTAAGATTTTTTTTTTTAATTTTAATCCTAAATACACTTTACTTGAACTAAATATTTACTTTTTTTATCTCTTAGCTTGCTAGTTTATACATGTATCTTTCGCTATCTTTAATATCTAATATGTTATTAGAGATCACTAAAAACAAAAATTTTAGCATCACGAATTATTCTCTTAGACTCGCTACGAGTAACATTATGTTTTTTCCAATTCTCTGAACTTTTATCTTTGAACCAGTATTTTTAAGAGTATTTTTAATTATTTTATCTTTTTTTTGCACATTATCATTCCTCCACAAACAGTTTTTATTCATAAATTTTTTTTTATTTTAATTTCTCAAGTATATTTTTTACAACTTGTTTAATAATATTCATTACTTTATCTCTATGATTTTGAAGATTACTCATAAAAATAATTTTATTTATATATTTTAAGTGCCCCAATCTAATTCATAAAAGCATTTAATTATATTTTTTATTTAATAACCTTCATCTTATAATTCAAAATCAATAGTTGATGTTGGATATTTAAATTTTCACTTAGAACGACCTTATAATTTTTATAATCTCAACAATTTATTTTTCATTGCTTACTCTAAAATCATAATTACCATCAATATTTCTAAAATATTTTATCTCTCTATCAATATTTCTATTTAAATCTCTTCTAATAAAAATTCTTTCATCAAGAGGTACCCTTGGTAATAATTCTTTTAGGACATTCCAAAATTTTTCTTTTGAATATATATCCAAATCTACTTAAGGAGCACAAGTTATTATAATATTAAAAATATTAGCATCAACAATAATTTTCAGAGCTATAATTCTATCTCAAATTCTTGATTTTTACAACATCATCTTTCAAACTCTTATATATAATTAAACATGCACCATTTCTAGTCCGACTCATTCCTGCTCCTGCTATCAAAATTTAAAATCAAAGCTATCAATCTCCTTTGTCTTTTATCCAAAACATTTAATTTTTTAAATGCATAATATATTTATTTTCTTATGAAATATAATATCTATAATTTCATTAATTTTCTTGTGAGAGTACTTATATTTCATATTTCTATCATAATATTAATTTTATGGACTAACTTCTTTGCTTGCATCCGTCTATAATGTAACTCTTGTTTATTTAACACTACAACCAAGCGCTGGAGTAGCTGTCTTTACACAATTTTTACAATATTCAGGCCACACAATGCGTCTTTTACAGGGGGCGAGGATTGAAGGCAACGGACTGTGTCAAGATAGGGAAAATAAAGGCGGAGTCCTAGCAGTAGCGAGGGGAAGTTGTTATGGCGGTTGGATAACAAGCAGAGGGGCTTTGGGAGGTGCGACAACGAGCTTTACGTGGGTTGATCGGGGTGGCAGCAGGTAGCTGGACCGTTAGAGAGTACGACAACAATTAGCAACTGTTGGAGAGTGAGGCAACAAGCAGCGAAAAGCGAGAAAGGAGAGAATACA